GGGACAAGAATGAAAATGGCGGCCTCCCAATCTCTGGCCCCAGAGAAGCCAAGAACTTGGGATCCCACTCCTCAGTGAGCCCTCAGAGAAAAGCAGTCAGTCACTCCTATCTCCCTAGTCTCTGGCTGGACTCTATGCTCTAACTCCTAAAAGTTCCGATTTTGTGCTCCGCTGCTCTGTCACTTGTCAGTAGCCAGCTGATGGAGGCTCCCTCCCTGCTGTGGTGTGTCTTCCCATATGTCACCTCCTACTCACTTCTCCGCACCTCCCTACCTTCCAGAAAGTGGTCACTTTTCTGTTCATAGAATGGCTGCTACTCTTTTCTTTGATCTCCAATCGAGTTTGCAGGTGTTCAGAATGATTTGATAGCTATCTAACTGAATTCCTGGGACCAGATGAAATTAAAGTCTCCTACTCCTCTGCTATCTTTGACTCTTCTTGGTGTTAATTTTTCTTTAAATATTTGGTATAATTCTCCAGTAAAGCCATATGGTTCGGGGATTTCCTTGTTGAGAGGTTTTTGAGTGCTCCTTCAGTCTGCTAACTAGTTACATATTTGTATTGCCTGAACTAATCTCCTATTTCTTCATCATTCAGTTTTAGTAGTTTGGGAGTGTCTAGGAATTTACTTCGTCTAGGTTATCCAATTATTGGTGTATCATTGCTCAGAGTATTCTCTTATCCTCTTTATTTCTGTGGTTTCGGTTGTAATGTCTACTGTCTCGTTTACAATTTTACTTCTGTAAAGTCAATTTTAATATCCCCTTTCATTTCTGCTGTTATTTGAGTCTATTTTTTTTTGTCTAGATAAAGTAAATTTTGTTGATCTTTTCAAAGAACCAACTCTTGTTTCATTGATTTTTCTCTACTGTTATTTTATTTTCTATTTATCTCTGCTCTAATCTTTAGTATTTCCTACTTTTGGCTAGCTTTGGGTTTAGTTCTGTAGTTATGTTTAGTTCTTTAGTTGTTATGATTTGAGATCTTTATTCTTTTTTAACGTAAACATTTGCAGCTATACGTTTTCACCTTAGCATTGCTTTCACTATATCCTGTAAGTTTTGGTACATTGTGTTTTCATTGTCATTTATCTGAAGATAATTTCTAACTTCCCTTGTGATTTCTTCTTTGACCCATTGGTTAAGAGTATGTTGTTTAATCCCCACATATCTATAGATTTTCCAATTTTCCTTCTGCTGTTGATTTTGAGTTTCAATTTAGTGTGAACAGAAAGTTTGTATGGCTTCAGTCTTTTAGAATTTACTAAGACTTGTTTTGTGGCCTATGATCTGTTTTGGAGAATGTTCCATGTACACTTAAGAAAAATGTGTATTTGGGGCCACTTGGGTGGTACAGTCAGTTGAGTGCCGACTCTTGGTTTCGGCTTCAGCTCAGGTTATAGTCTAAAGGTGGTGAGATTGAGCTCTTTGTCGGGCTCCACATTTAGCACAGTCTGCTTGGGTTTCTCTCTCCCTCTCTCTCTCTGCCCTTCACCCCTGCACATGCTCACATTCTTTCTCTTTCTCAAATAAATAAATCTTTAGGGGGAAAACAAAGGAAAAATGTGTATTTTGCTTTTGTTGGGTGGAATGTACTATATACATCTTTTGGGCCCAGTTGGGTCTGTTGGGTTGTTCACGTACTGTTCTTAATGCCCTTCTTTCTGGTTGTTATATCCATAGGTGGGGTATTGAAGTCTACTATAATCACAGAGCTTTTTTTTTTTTTCTCCACCAGTTCTGTCAATGTTTGCCTCATATATTTAGGAACTGATGTTTGGTGAATATACAATTGTTATAATTCCTTGGTGAATGAAGCATTTTATTACCTAATGGCCTTTTTGTCTCTCATAACTGTTTTTACTTATAGTCTATTTTGTCTGATACTATTATAGAACCCCTGTCCTCCTTTGGGTACCATTTGCATGCAGTATCTTTTTTCATCTTTCCAGTGTATGTCCTTACATCTCTTGTAGACAGTACACAGCTCAATCTTATTTTTTAAATACAATCTAGGGGAAGTTTAATTCATTTACATTTCCAGTTATTGCTGAGGAAAGAACTTCCCATTACCATTTTGATTTGTTTTCTGTATGTCTTAAAGCTCTTCACTCTGTCATTTAAATGACAGACTTAAATTTAAATGACTTCCTAGGAGTCTCAGCCCTGCTTCTTCTCTGGGCCTTCAATGTTGCATTTTATTCCTCAGCCCATAATCTCTTGTACCTAGACATTCATGGTTATGCAGACCCCCTGTATGGCCCTATGTGCAGCAGTTCCCACCACTGCTTCCAGCAGCCTCCAGCCTGATACGTAAACGGTGTCACCATTCCATCAGTGCTCTGAATCAGGTGAGACAGTCCCTCAAGCAATCCCCAAACAAGTCAGACCATTACAGGCAAGTTCTACTCTTCTTTCCACAAATTGAAAGGCTTCCTTCCATTATGCCAGGAGGGTAAGGGGGAAAAGGGTGAGCATAAATGCCATGAAATTTCCTATCATTTTTGAGTATGGCTTTTTAAGTGTTTGCTTGGCTGTTACTGCTTAGTTGGCTTCTATACTTCTCACGACACTACACTGTGTCTTCAGTGTGTCCATGTGTGTTTGTTGGGGGACAAGGGCCCAGAACTTCGTAATCTGCCATCTTGGTGACATCACTATCAATTATCTTTTAAAGAGATTTATTTTAAAAAGAAGTCTACTAATATTTATTACGTTATTATTTCTGTTACTTTGTATGTAGATTCAGATTTCCTTCTGGTATCATTGCCATTTTGCATGAAAGGCTTCCTTTAACATTTATTTAAGTATAAGATCTTCCTGTACTTAGTTAAATTCTACTGACCTGTCAAAGTTCATTGGTCCTTCTTCTCCATTGTCCAAACTGATGCAGAGCTCATTTGGATAATTTTTGCCAAGTTCACAAACTCTCTCTCCCTTGTCAGGCCTGTGGCTGAATTCTCTGCTCAGCTCTTTAGACCATAGCTGTTGCCTTTCATGTGTTCCTAGGGGTCTCACCCTGCCCCCGGGGTATTTGGGGTATTTAAGTGTCTACCAAGGATTTAAGGGAATTTTTAGGGCTCCATTCTTTATAGGATTTGTCAACTGAAAATTTCCGCCACCCTGTTGTCTCATTTCTCAGACCAGTAAGACTGCTACTTTTTCCTCGAGATCCATCTCCTGTGAACCCATGAAGTAGAAAGTACTCTCAGAAGCCAGCTGACTATGAAAAAAAAAAAAAAAAAAAATCCAGCTGACTATGGACTTCAGCCAGTATATTTCCCTTTTTTCAAGGAGCATATCACCTCCAGTTTCAGCTTACTACTGATTATTCATCTATACCTTCAAATATGTTTTTGTTAACTCCAGAAGAGTTGGTCTACTACAAACTGGCATTACTGGAATTAGAACTGAATTATTTCTAAACTGTTTTGAGAGATCATTAAGTTCCCAATGTTAGTTATTCAGTAATGCAAAGAAGAAAACTTGCAAAAATTTTATATTTCAGTTAAAGATATTTATTACTAATGTGACAATATAATTTTTTCCAGTAAAGACTGAAGACTATATGGGAGTTTCTTCTCTTTTTGCAGGATATAGCCAATGAAGAACACAAAAAAATTGAAGCACTAAAATCAGAAAACAAGAAGCTAGAAAAACAAAAAGGAGAATTAATGATAGGGTTCAAGAAACAATTAAAATTAATCGATGTTTTAAAAAGGCAGAAGGTGAGTCTGTCCTTAAAAAACACAGTTAAATCATAGGTATTATTTGGGCCACTCTACTAAAATAGTTCTTATTTCTACTTTAGAGATTTTTTTTTTTATTTTGACACAGGCACAAAATTTTTTAGTTTTTTTTTTTTTATTTATTTGACAGAGAGAGATCACAAGTAGGCAGAGAGGAGGGAGCAGGCTCCCCACTGAGCAGAGAGCCCAATGTGGGGCTCGATCCCAGGACCCCAGGATCATGAGCTGAGCCAAAGGCAGAGGCCCTAACCCACTGAGCCACCCAGGTGCCCCTAGGCACAAAATTTTATCTATTAACATACATAATAAGATTTATATACAATGTGTCATCCAAGCAAATGGATATTTTCATGCGAGTATATTAGTAATGTGGCAAATGGAACTAAAAATACTGTATGGATACTCCTTAATTAAAGAAAGTATGTACAAGAATAACTATTATCTTAGGGGATTAGTTTGCCTCTTGAAACACGGAAGACTGAAAATTGAATCCCAGCCACTATTTCCTTCTGTCCACAAAGTTACCTGGTGGTGAAAAGATAAGGCGTCATGGTTCTGCCACTCTCCCTTTTTGCCAAGGTTAGGAATTAAAATGTCATTATTCTCTCAACATATTGGTTCAGTAACCACCATGGACAAAATAAGTTTTTACAAGCTGATCATTGAATGTAATTTCAAATATCATGTTTATTAGATTTCGAGTACACATCCCAACAGACCTTATTAATTTGATAGCATATTTATGTACACACTTTTGTCAATTTCCTGTTGTTCTGTGGTCTACTCTTAAGACTAAAACAATATTGATTTGTTACAAACACAGATGCATATTGAAGCTGCCAAGATGTTGTCTTTCACCGAAGAGGAATTTATGAAGGCACTTGAATGGGGAAATTCATAAATTATCTACTTTATAATTATATAGACTTTGTATGTCTGTCTAACTGTATGACCCATATATATTTTATTTAAAGTTTTAATGCACTATTTGTACTCTAAGTAATGAAGACATTTGGTAATGAAATCAAAGTAATTCCAGTGAATTCCCTGTTCAGATTTAGGGGATACAAAATTGATATGTAAAAGAATAGGAATTTAACTTTTGATTCTTTCTTGTGACCCACTTGCTGTCTAAGGTAAAGTACTTTATGTCCTAGAGATTCAGGTCTAGTTTGTAAACGGTAAGTTTCTGTTATAGAAATTCTGCTTTTAAGTTTTCATGGACAATAAAGCACTTTGAAATGCCTCACGCTTAACTATTCTCTTTCCTTATAGTAGAAAGCAAAAGATACTTTGGCTGGCCAGATCCTGGAAGTAAAGTTCCTAAAATACCAGTGGAACTGTAGTCTGAATGGAGATGCAGCAAAAGCTCTGAGCAGTAGGGGTAGTATGAAGAAGTTAGTCTCCTGGGTTTGGCCTGTAATGTATTGATACATACATGGACTGTTGTGATGTGGTACACAACTCAGATCTTCAAATTATCAGTACAAGAACGAGTTTGACTAAGAGCAATTAATTTTGTAGCTAAAAAATAGGAATTAGAGACACTTTAGAAAATCCAAGCAGATTACAGATTCAGTATTAACTGTAAAACAAAAGTTACAATGACATCTAGTGGTGAAAAACAATCTAGTTTTTACCTAATCTTGATGGTGTCCCTTCTCTTCACAAATTTCACTCCTTTTCTGATATACTTTCCTGAACTCTTCACCTAGCATATCGATATCATCCTCTTTTTTAAATACTCCCTGCAAGAAAAATATTTTGCGGGTTACTTCAAATGCTAGAGTAGTTCACCAAATGCTAACAAATATATAGACTACAAATTTATGAAGTTATAGCTCTAAGATAATGTAATCTATTTAATAGGTTTATGAAAAAATCACTGTTCTCTAAAATTATGATTTGATATATATACTCAATATTCTTTGATTTCCTGACGTATCTATCAGCTCCAGTGTAGGAATTTGTAATAGGAATCTGGGCTCTTCTCCCTTACTACTGCAGGTCACAACTGCTAGGATTGGCTGAATGAGGAAGAATTTAATAAGGACTGAGAGAGGTCAGGGTGAAGAAACTGAGCTTTGCCAGGCTCATGGATGAGACTGGCTCTTGCCTCCGTTCTGTGGCTGGTCAGCAAACCTTGAATCTTGCAGGAAAGGCTCCAGGTTTGGAGTTAGGCCATTTAAGCAAGCCCTTTGAAATTCTCCATGCTTTTACTTACTTTTCTTTTCCCTTATACTATACAGTAAAAGCCTCTTAAGTATTTGCTTATATAATTTAAAGGACCTAAAGAATAATTTGTCATTTGGGGATATATCAGGTTTGTTAGGCTCTCCCCATCTCCACATTTACTTTTAAAAATATCTAAATCCCAGACTCTCCAGAACTTATAAGGTGACGTATTAATTTAAAAAGACTATATTAATGAATCCTGTCAACCAATTAGACTGTAACAACCTGTGGAAAAGCAATAATTACTCAATTCCCTTTCTCCCTCCTTAGCACTGCACTAAAAAATAAGCACTTGATTCTTCCAGATGAATAAATCAAATGACATTTCTAAATTTAAAAGACGGAAAATTTATTTACATGCACCCAGATGTTTATATGGCTTATGAAACTCAGTTGTTACTTTATTTATAGTCAGAATATATCTCACTTATACATGAAAATCTTATCTCTTGGAAGTACTTTTAAATACAGTTTACCTAGTACCTACTTAAAACTTCCCATTAGATAGCAGATCTGTCTCGGACTTGGTTCAAGCATGTGTCTGTTAGCACTGTTACCAATTACAAGATTTTCCCGTATGTCATCAGCTTTAGTGTACAAAGTATCACAACTGATTTCAGGTAGTTTAGTTTTAGACTTCTAAAATTGAAATTCAGGAACTCTAGCTCCTGCTTCTAAGAATGTGCCAAGACCAACTCTCTCATTTTAGGGACAGATGTCAATGACTGCCTAAGATCCCACTGCTGCTTTGTGAACAGCCAGAAGTAAGCAAAACCCAGACCCTCTGAAGTCCTAGTTACCATGTAATTTTCCCCACTATTGGAGTTCAGGAAGATTATACCTTGAGTTAAATCTCACTTACTTTAGGGAGATAGCCTAGTAATTTTGTAGCATGTTCTTTGAGAAGTTTTAGTCTTTCTTCTTCTATAATTGCATTAATACATCCTTGTCTTCTTTGCTGCAACTGCCATTCTTCTAGTTCACGTTGCTGGAAATGTAAATAAAATTTTATTGTCACAGCATACATTAATCTTTTAAGAAGTCATAAAATAAAACCTATTCTCATAGTGAATTAGACAAAATTGATGAAATATTTGACACTAACTTCAGAATATACTATATAGTATTTTTATATTTATTATATATACAACATATCTCTATCTTTTAAAGTTACAAAAACAGTAGTCATGACTGGGATTTTAGGGAGGCAAGTATATATTTCTAGGACAATATAACTTCATTACCAAGGAAAAAATTTTCAAAGAAGGGATTTCCTAATTTATTCAGATATTTATATAATGTTAACCATATGCCCAGTGTTGAAGGCAGTTTACTGTATAAAACAAAATAGGGGGGCGCCTGGTTGGCTCAGGTCGTTAAGCCTTTGCCTTCAGCTCAGGTCATGATCTCAGGGCCCTGGGATCGAGTCCTGCATCGGGCTCTCTGCTCAGGAGGGAGCCTGCTTCCCTTCCTCTCTCTCTCTCTCTGCCTGCCTCTCTGCCTACTTGTGATCTCTGTCAAATAAATAAAATCTTAAAAAAAAAAAAAAAACAGGGATATCTAAAAGGTAAATATTTCCATATATGTTAAGATTTTTAAGAGCCTGTAGGAAGCACAAGAATAGCAGCAATAGTTCCAACAGACGAACCAGTGTTTCAGAGCACCTGGGTAGCTCAGTGGCTTAAGCCTCTGCCTTTGGCGCAGGTCATGGTCCTGGGGTCCTGGGATCGAGCCCTGAATCAGGCTCTCTGCTCAGCGGGGAGCCTGCTTCCCTCTCGCTCAGCCTGCCTCTCTGCCTACTTGTGATCTCTGTCAAATAAATAAATAAAATCTTAAAAAAAAAAAATCCAATCTTGGGACTTGCTGAGCTTTTAAAAAAAAAAAAAAAAGAATTGGTGTTTCTCAGGAGGGAGTTCTGAATGCTCTTATATAACCACATCAAACTTCTGTACCATATACTACGGAAGAGAGGACCAGCTTCAAAAGTTTTAGGGCTTAAAAGAACTTACGGAGCCATACCCAAATAATCCTGTTGGAAAGGGAAGGGTGCTAAAGGCAGACCACTAAAGTGGTGAATTCCCACCTAGAATTAAAGTAGTATTAATGTTAAGCGTGTCTTTGTAATAACTATAGTTTCCTAGGCTCATTATTTTTTCAGACCAGTCCTTGTCAAAGTCATGTAAACTAGAAAAGAGTATGTTTTCCTACAATGGGAGACCAGCTTCTACATAACCTAATAACTCTTCATAGTTACCAATGAAGAAAAAGGGGAATGCTAGGACACAGCCATTTCCAGTGCCACTTAAACCTGTAATTGCTTCTCATGAGAGTATTTCGTCTTCTTTAGTAATACTATCTGCATAACAGAATCAGACATAGCATTGATAACAGCTAATTGAGAAAAGACTTTCTCATCCATCTGGTTCCTGAATCAAAGAGTTGAGTGGCCCTTACTTATGTTACCTCTAAGATCAAATAGGTAACAGAATCTGCCATGGAATTGTTACACCTGAATTTATTTATTTTTTTTTTAAAGACTACATTTCTAAGGCTCCCTTACAGTCCGGTATGGTCAAAATAGGACTTGGTTTCTGCCAACGGAATATAAGCAGATGGGTCATACAGACTTTTATGAGGAAGAATAAACTATCTACTAAGACACCATTAATTTGGTCTCTGTACCTGTAGCCAAACCTAATTCTAACTGATGTGTTCCTTATAGAAAGGAGATACAAGAAATTTCTGTAATGTTGTGAGGAAAACTCACTTGTTAAATTTTTGTCCAATGATGGATAGTCTCTAATTTGGGTAGAATAAAAGATTTCTCTTCTTAGGATGTGGTAAACACATTAAATATCCTAATAAATATTTTTATAGTAAATTAGGTTAAAAAGTTTAGAAAACTCTTGAAACCAAGTTGTCCATTTAGGACAAATTCTGAATAGCTGAAACTGCTTTCTGGGGAGTTTCAGATTTTTGTCTGCCTAAACGTATGATTTCTTAAAAAGCTAGACAGAATTGTAGATACCTATTTAGGAATATCTTCAAAATCTAGAAATCAGAGTTAGAGCCTCATAGGATTATAATGGAAAGGATTAACATATTCCATGATAATGAAAATCCACCCTTGCCCTTGGGATGTGACCCAATCTCAAACACTTGAAGCACACAGCTTCATACTAGGACTATTTACATTAAAGAAAATTAAGACAAATTGTTTCCAACTTTGTCATTTAGACATCTGGAAATATGGCAACAGAACTATGGTGTGACATAAGAAGAGAGGAGAGCCAAAGTATCTCGACACTTCATGGAGCAGGCAAAAGACAGAGCTGATCTCTCTTGGTTTTCTGTGACACACCATCTAGATTCTCTTGCCTTTCTAACCATCTCTTGGTCATGTCATTGTTTTCTTCCTCCTCCTCCTACCATCAAATAAGAATGTTCACCAAGACTTGACTGGCCCTCTTACTGTTTCTCATCATAATTCTTTGGAGGAATCCTCTTAGCTTGAACCTCTCTCTGTGCTGCTTAATGCGAGATACGTATTTCTAGGAAAATTTGACCTAAGCTTTGCTCTTCTGGGTCAACTGCCTTAAGAATATTTTCAATTTGCATTTCCGTTTCAAACACACCATGATTAAAACTGAAGTATTATATCTTTTTTGTCCTACCTCATAACACAATAGCATTTGGTAGTCTTTGAGTTTCTCATATTTAAAACCTTGGGAGTTACTTTGACTCCTTCCTCCACTCTACCCTTCATGGTCCAAAAAAGCTATACCAGTCTCATCTTACTTTAAAAATATTTAAACTCTTACCTTTCTTGCTTCTTCCATTGCTTTGTGAACCTATTCCAGGTCCTAATCACCTCTTTCTTGAATGACTACCTTCTCCTCTTGCTAAAGACCATGTTATGATCATCAGTTTCCTATTGTATCATATCTAGACTCCTCTGCCTATCATTCAAGTTTCTCGTTGTGGTATTTCCATATGCTGCCAACTTAGAATACCTTCTGCTTTTACTCATCTTTTATGTATTTCCAGGTAAACCCACATAGTTCTGCCAGAAATGTCCATAACCCATGAATAACACAGGTTTGAACTGCACAGGTCCCCTTACCAGTAATTTTTTTTTCGATAAATACAATATAGTACTGTGAATGTATTTTCTCTTATTTTCTTGATAAAATTTTCTTTTCTCTGGCTTACTTTGAGAATGTAGGATGTAATACATATATAAAATATGTGCTAATCAAATCTTTATGTTATCAGTAAGGCTTCTGGTCCTCAGTAGGTTATTAAGTTTTGGGGGAGTCAGAAGTTAATTGTGGATATTTGACTGGGTGAGGGGGAGGGTTCAGCACCTCTCACCCTGTGCTGTTCATGGGTCAACCGTATTGCACAATTAGTAAATTACAACTACCAAATTCTATAAATGTTTACATTGTACATTTAGGAAATGTACTCAGTATAATTTTGTATATAATCAAATCTTTTACAAATCTGTACCCTATTTTTTGCACTACCCTAGAAGCTATGAGAATTAATTTTTATTCATTTTGGTTCCTTCACCAACACTCAGCAGAATGCCTAACAGGTCAGTATCTGTTGATTACAAGAATATCTGAAGATTTCTTCCTGTCCACCCATATAGGAAAAGATCATCATTACCATAAGTAACTTTATTAATCCCTGTTCTGCCACTTACTTGCTGTGAAACCTTGAGCAATATATAGATCATCTCTCTATGCCTTAGTTTTCACATCTTTAAAATGGGGGTAGAATACTACCTGACTCAACAGGGTTGAAAATTTAAAGTTATCACTTTGCTTGTAATGAGCTTAGCATAGTGAATGATGCATGTAAACGCTCAATAAATTTTCATTGTTACTGCTACCAACCACTTCCATTAGTCATAAATATTTACCATAAGCCTAATCTGTATTCTTCATATTTAGAGCTGTTTGTACTTACAGAGTACTTACATATTATCTTATTTGGTTCTTAAAGCTCAACAATCTAGTGAGGCAGATTATTTAAGTATTATTTCAGGTTTATGAATGAAACATGTGTCCAAAGACACAAATCTAGTTCCCTCTCCAACTCTGAGGTCTACATTGCCAGTTAAGAAATCTTCCCCCTGGTGCCTAAGAATTAATGCGGACAAAATGGAATAATATATCCCCTTGAAATCCATTTTTCTTTGTTTTCTTTAGGACCTCACCCATTCACTGAAGATGGAAACAATAGTATTATTTAGTAGTAGCAGCAGCAGCCGTAATCCTGCTCTTACCTCTTCAGACCTAACTGGTCACCAAGCCCCATCAAAGCTATCTCCCTCACATCTCCCTCCTTCTCCATCTGCATGGGTTTTCCCCACCTCTCACCGACTTACCATAGTAATGTCCTAACTGGTCTCCCTGTCTCCAGTCTTACTCCCCTCACTCTACCCCCAATATCCCTACTCAAGTCATCTTTCCAAGTGCAGAACTTAACCATGTAGCCTACTTAATTCTTCAGTGGGTATGCCTGGCTAAAGATCACTTTTAAATTAGCATCCAGAGCATTCATGATCTGTGTCCCCTCTACCATACCAAGATGCCCATACCTGTATAATTATTATCACATGTACTTGGCCTATCTTTATAATGATTGCTTTTATATATTTTTATACAAGACCATAAACTCATAGATACCATGGACTTAGTTGTATTTATGTTCTCAACACCAGCCAACCAGTGTCTAGCACAATGGAAAGCATCAATAAATACATTCTAGATGCATTAAGGAATGATTGGTCAGAAAACGTCTACACCATATGTTCATAAACAGATAAGCTAACAGCAAGGGTCTCAGTGAAATGCTTAGTGGAGGAGCAGATGAGCTGATTATTGGTTCAGTGATAATGAAAAAAACAGAACACTTTTCTTACTTTGTCTGCAAGGAACTGATTGCGACGCTCTTCAATGAGTTTTTCCACAGCCCTCCTGTGTTCTAGTTGCTTCATTCTTTGTTTCTGAGCATTCATCAGTTCTATCCGATCATCCTCAGCAAGCTTAGCTAGCATAGCCTTTCTGAAGGTCTCCTCTTCCTCTTTCGCAGCCTGGAGTACTAATTCCTTCAGGGCCATTTGTTCTATAAAATCTTGCTTCAACTCCCTTTGCTTTCTCAATTTCTCTTCTGCTTCCTCCTAAACAACAATCCATATAAACATTAATTCAGTAACTGTTTCTTTACAGCAGATTTACAAAGAAAGGGTGGATAGAGTTTGGTTGAGTGCAGTTTAAAATAAGAAATAAAACTGAAAAACTAACTTTTTCAAGATAACACTTTTCCCCATCCTTTAAAGACTCACTGGATAAAGGACATGTTACCTATGGATTGCCTTCTTTTATTTTTAGATTTTATATAATTTATATATATTTTGGAAGGAACGGATATAAAAACTTTTTTACACACCTGAGGTTATTAAATCTGTGAAATTTGTACCCACTATGAATCATTCTAGAATCTTGCCTGAAACTGTGGTTCCAATCACTGGTAAATATTTTTCAGAATAATAATCTAGAAATGACAATCACAAGTTTTTTGGGAAAATTCAAAATTACTTGGCACAGTTAAAGTCTTTCCCTACAAGCTTTAATTTTCCTAACATTTTATTAATAAAAAATTTTAAACATAACTGAAAAATGTTTACAGTGACCACCCATCTAACACCTAGATTCTATTTTTGCTTTATTGTTATCCAGTTAGGACTGATATAAATTTTAATTCCTTCTCAGCTGTAACCAGCCTTGCCTAATTCTAACACAATTTCCAGGAGGTAAGCCATATCCTCAAGGCATTCAAAATATTGCCTTAACAACAGCTGTATGAGCAGGGTTTTACATGTAACACAAACTATAAGGGATTTACTACAGGCCAGCAGGTGGCATAGAGGGCCAGGGAACCAGCTGCCATCTTGGTTACCATCTATTTTTTGTAGAGTTAACCATCATGGCTCAAATTCCATGATGGTAACTACCAAAACTATTCCCAATGACCCAGTCTTCTATGTATGATTTGCAACCTCACTTTGCCTACTTCTGTCTTCACACCTTGAAGTGCAAGGATAACTTGGGAGATTACCTAGGTCCTATGAAGAATTATGGCTAAAAGAAGAGAAATGTGATTTCAATTTTATAGTCTTTATAATAAAGTAAGACAAAAGGGTAGGAGTGGGTTTTAAGTGAATCAGTCTGGAATATCAGTGACGGTAACTCTGTTCATTATCTTGAATATTCAACCTCTTTGTCCTCACTTACCTCTATCTAATCTGTTCAGATCTCACCTCCACAAAGTCTTTTCTAATCACTCTAATTCCTTTTAGAAATTAGAATTCTCTTTTGGGCCTTTGATACCATTCAATTTTCCCAACATTTAATTTATTTGACATGCCCGTGCCCTATCTCCTCACTAACAATAAATTCCTAGAGGGCATTTTTTTTTATTATTTTATGTATCATATCTGTTGTTTTAGTTTATGATACTGGGCACGGTGTTATGATATTACAGTTTGTGTTCATCTGCCATGTATGATATGGAAGTCAGAAGGCTCAGTGAAGGCAGATACTGTCTCAGCTTTGAACTCCTCCAGAGCTCATCATAATACCTAACACACAGAAAACACACATTGAATCAAATGAATTGATGACATCTCCTGGGACCCATCTCCCATACAAATCTTAGTAATGGTAAAGACATCTGGGTAGAAATCAGGGAGGTGTTAGCAAAACAAAACAAAACACAATTTTTTTTTCCCAAGAAAAGTGTTCCTGTACTCTTAGATCTGTTTGGATCAGGATTTTATAAATATAAGTAATATGGACTGCATAATTTTACAACCCATAATGTCGTTTAAGAAATAGCTATTTACTGAAGGTTTGAAATAATTTGCTGTAAAACTACTCTGAGCCTGGAAACTTTTAGAGGTATCTTGGTCTGGGTTCTCCTATGAAAGCAGAGCCTTACACAAATATTTGTGTATACATATTTTATGAGAGAAGATCTCAGGAAGCATCAGTGAGAGAAAAGCAGAGAGAAATAGGGAAGGAAGAAAAGCCAACACATGGGTACATAAGTTAACTGGTTACTATGCGGGCAACTGTGGCTTAATCCTGCCAAGACCTTGTGAGGAATGCATGGAGCACCTTTCAGGTCTGTCCACAAGGCTGACAGGAAGAAGCATTCATCCCTTAATTTCTCTCCCCTCTTGGCTGAGGAATTACCCCAAGGATATTAACTCCCAGCCCCCACCAACTCCACCACACTTTAGTCCCTCAACTTAACTTGATACTAGATATATATAAATCGATTACATTGTTTTTAAAAAGAAATGTACATATTTTACATTTCTTCTATGCAGTTAGTCATTAAGAATATATATGCAGTTGGTTTTGATATCAATACGTGGTTTTCAGTTTCCTCCTCACTGATGAAACAGTATCTAAAATGATCTGTTTTAATATAGCTGAAAAATATTAAAAATAATAGTAAAAGCTAACAATTTATTGTATATTGGCTAGTCATGTATTTGTTTAATGAAATGTTTGTTCAGATTTCTGGTTCATTAAAAAACACTGGGTTCTTTGTATTCTATTATTGAGTTATAAACATTCTATGTTCTGAATAAAAGGTTTTATAAGATACATGTAGGGAATACTGTTTCCCAGACTGTGGCTTACATTTATATTTTCCTAAATGTTAGGAAGTTACTAGTTTTGATGAAACCCAATTTTCAACTTTTTCCTTTATGGGTCTTGCCTTTTTAAACTACTAAAATATCTTCACCCTTCTAAAGGTTATAAAGTCTTTCTGCAGTGTTTTCTTCTAGAGATTTTGTAGTTTCAGTTTTTTTGTTTGTCTCATTCATTTCAGTTAATTTTTGTATATAATAAGACAGAAAATAATAAGCTGGAGGGCAGGGAAAATAGGCAGAGGTTGGTAAAAGGGTACAGAGCTCAGCTATAAGATGGATAAGGTCTGAGGATCTAATGTAAAACATAGTGACTATAGTTAAATAACACTGTATTGTATAACAATTTGCCAAGAGTAGAATTTAAATGCTCTCATCACAAAGATAAACATATGAGATGATAGATACTAATTAAGTAGATGGAGAGAATCATTTCCCAATGTAAATATTTATCAAATCACCATATAATGTATACTTTAAATATCTTACAAGTGTATATGTTAGTTATACGTCATGAAAGCTGATATTAAAAGTCAGTAAACTTGAAAAACCAAAAGCAAGAGTGACCAAAAATAGAAAAACATTACCAATATCAGAAAGGATATTAAGGACATCCAAAGGATAATAAGGGATTTGTATGAACAATTCTACACAAACAAGTTTGACAACTTAGATAAAATGGATAACTTCCTTAAACACAAGTCATTAATACTAACCAATTATGAAATAAGATCATGTGAATTGCCCTATAACTATTAAGTACATTGAATTAATAATTTAAAACTCAAAAAATAAAACTCCGGGGCCAGATGGTTTCATTGGAAAAGTCTACCAAATGTTTAATGAAGAATTAAAACCAATTTTATACAATCTTCCAGAAGACAGGAGAGGAGGGAAAACTTCACTTTTTATTTTATGAATATTGTATTATCCTGACACCAGTATAAAAACAGAAAACTAAAAACCAATATTCCTCATAAATATGGATGAAAAAATCCTTAGCATAATATCAGAAAACAGAATCCAGACATACATTAAAAGAATTATATACCAGTGGGATTTATTCTAGTGAATGAAGACTGTTTCAGTATTCAAAAAAAAATCAATGTAATCCACCAGGATAGAGAAGAAAAAGCACATGATCTTATCTATAAATGTAGAAAAAGCATTTGAAACCTTCATGATAAAAACCTTCAGAAAAATAGGGATAGAAGAGAACTTTCTTAAGTTAATAAAGAACATCTATGTACAAAACAAAGTACAGTTAACAGCAAGCTTTCCCCTTAAATAGGCAACAAAGAGAGTTGACGTCTATCTCATCACTCTTGTTCAACATAGTGATAGACAATGCTAGAAGTTTCAATTAGTACAATAAAGCAAGAAAAGGAAATTAAAAAGATAAAGATAAGAAAAAAAGAAGACTCCCTACTCTCAGAAAACATGACTGGTTATGGAGGGGAAAAAAAAACAACTCCTACAAGTTACTAAGTGAATACGGGAAGGTTATGAGATACAAGATAAATATAAAGTTAATTCACTAATAATGAGTCCATGGATACTGCAATTAAATTCCATTTATAATTGCTCAAAAAAAAAGAAATATTTAAATATAAATCTATAAAGCACATACAGGATTTATATACTGAAAACTATAAAACACCAAGGAAACTATTCAAAGATGATGTAAATAAATGGGAATCATACTATGTTCATGGACTGGTAAACTCAACATAGTGAACATGTCAATTCTCCCCAAATTGATACTCAGATTTAATGCAAGGCTGGGGCACCTGGGTGGCTCAGTGGGTTAACGCCTCTGCCTTTGGCTCAGGTCATGGTCCCAGGGTCCTGGGATTGAGCCCCACGTCGGGCTCTTTGCTCAGCAGGGAACCTGCTTCTCTTCCTCTCTCTCTGCCTACCTCTCTGCCTGCTTGTGATCTGTGTCTGTCAAATAAATAATATCTTAAAAAAAAAAAAAAATCCCAGAAGGCTGTTTTTGTAGATAGAGATAAGATTATTCTAAAATATATATGGAAAGGCTAAAGTAAATTTGAAGACTACAGCTACCATAATCAATTCTGTGTGGAATTGGTGGAGGGATAGATACATAGATGAAAAGAGCAAAACAGAGGTCCCAAAAACAGACCCATACAAATATACTTAACTGTTTCAATAAAGTTCCAAAAGCAATTTGATGTAGGATAGAAAATCTTTTCAACAATTGGTAAGGGCAACGGAACATCTAAAAGCAAAAACCATGACCTAAGTTTCATACCCTATAAGAAATACTAACTGAAAGCAGATCACAGATACAAATGTAAGAGTAAAAAGTTTTAGAAAGAAAAATTTGTCAGGATTTAGGCAAAAACTTCCTAGAATTGATGTCAAATTATGATCTATAAAAATTGAAATTGGTGAACTGGACCTCATAGAAACCGAAAACATTTGCTTGGAGAAAGACCCTGTTAAGAAGATTTTGAAAAGACGAACTACAGATTAAGAGAAAATCTGTAAACCTACAAACCTGACAAAGGACTAGTATCTAGAATAACATAAAGAACTCTCAAAACTCTACAATAAACTAACAACTCAATTAGAAAACTGGCACGTCATCCTGACTTGAGGTCAGGATACGATATTATTCAACACTGTTTCTGTGGTTTTCGGACTATTCTATATACTAATGAGAAGGAATACTGAAAATCTTCAACTATAATTATAGATTTGTCTCTTTTCCTTTCAGTTTTATTTCATCCATTTTGAAGCTTTATTTAGGCTCATCCACCTTTAGGGCTGTTACAGCCTCTAGATGAATTTATCCTATTGGCATCATGATTTCCACCCTAACTTGCTTTTGATTAGTGTTTAGTATCTCTCTCCCCATCCTTCTGTTTTTAAACTATATGTCTTCGTATTTAAATTGTGTTTCTTACAGGGCAGACAGCTGAATCACACCTTTTACGCTGTTAACTGCTGCCTACGACTAGCTTTTTTATCCAGCCTGAAAATTCTTCTCCTAATTTTAGTGATGTTTTGTTTTGTATTAAGAGCTTTTATTTACTTATCTCACAGAGAAAAGGAGACAGAGAGGGAGAGAGAGAGCATAAGCAAGGGAAGGAGCAGAAGGAGAGGGAGAAGCAGGGAACAGAGAGCCTGATACAGAGCTCAATCCCAGGGCTTGGAGATCATGACCCGAGCTGAAGACAGACGCTTAACCCACTGAGCCACCCGGGCGCCCCTCATTTTAGTGTTTATACTATTTACACATAATATAATTACCAATATAGTTGGGTTTAGATCTACCATTTTTCTACTGCTTCATCTCAAAGTGATACGCTTCTCTATGTTAATCATTCCTTCCATTTCCAAAACTTACTCTTAGTTTCATCCTATGTATTTCAGCTTGCTCTTCCTCGTATAATTCTTGTCGCACTTGTTCCAAATCTTCACGTTGCCGCAGCATTTCTTCCAATTTCTGAGCCAACTATTAAATTTTAAAGAAACACACAAACGTTAATAGGAAACAAATTCTATAACAAGTATTTCAGAATTTCCCTAGTGTTAAAGAAGTGGCTATTTTAGTACCGTGTTCTGAAGCTGTAGCCTTTTCTCTTCATTTTCTTGAACTTTTGCCATCCGATCTTCTTCTCTTTGTTGCTGCATGTTGGCGAATTCTATGATTTTTCTGTTTTCTTCTTCCATCTCCTCACGTTTCTTCTTTCTCCAGAGAGCCTGCTCTTTCTGAAACTCTTCTATATACTTTCGAGTTACATTCATTTTTTCTAACTTTTGCTGTCTTTCCCTAAAAAGCAATAATGAGTATAGTTTTATAGTAATAGAAATAATATTGAAAAATGCGTCATTTCCTTCAGTTGATAATAACATGGGCAAAAACAGCTTTTCTATTTACTTACCTACTTATTTATTTGAGAGAGAGAGAGAGAGCGCGCGCGCACATAAGCAGGGCAAGGGACAGAGGGAGGAGAATCTCAAGCAGACTCCCCACTGAGCCTGGAGCTTGACATGGGGTCAGTCTCACAACCCTGAGGATCATGACCTGAACCAAAATCAAGAGTCAGATGCTTAAATGACAGACCCCAGCTAGGCGCCTCACAGCTTTTCTACTTACAGTTTCTTCATTCATTAATACCATGACCATTTTGAGTATCCACTGTGTACCACTAAATATAATGACAGGTATGAATCTTCTGAGTAAAATACTACTTATACCTCTCCTCTAAACTATTTTTTTTAAGATTTTATTTATTTATTTGACAAAGAGAGAGAGATCACAAGTAGGCAGAGAGGCAGAGAGAGAGGAAGGGATGAAGGCTCCCTGCCTAGCAGAGAGCCCGATGGGGGGCTCGATCCCAGGACCCTGGGATCATGACCTGAGCCGAAGGCAGAGGCCTTAACCCACTGAGCCACCCAGGCGCCCCCTCTCCTCTAAATTATTAATGAAGTTTTATGCATCTCACTTCAGAAAGGCCAACAACCTACACTTCCACTGTCTAGCCAAGAAATGATCAGAATACAAGTCCTCTGAAACGATATGTGCATATTTAAGAAAAACAAAGGTTTAATCATTTTGTTACTTAATAAGCATTTGTTATCAGGTAATTGTCATGCTTACAAAGATAAACAAGAGTTCTAGTTTATAGGATTATAACATTTACTGAGGACTTACTATGCACTAGGCACTGTTCAGTTGCTTTATGTCTTCAAAACAAGCTTAAGATCAATCAAATCTCAGTGTTTAGACATGGAAAAAAGCTGGGATAAACTTACAATTGATCTTCTTCATAGATTTTCCTAACAATTTCATCAATCATGAGTTTCTCTTTTAGTAACTGCTCATATGCTTCCTGCTTTTTCTTCTCTTGTTCTTCAAGTTGTTTCTCTAAGTCAAGATAATACTGTGCTTTTACTTTATTCCGTTTGTCTTCTGCAGCACTCTCTTCCTTTACTGCTCTCTCGTGTTCCTCCATCATGGTTTTGGCTATTTCAGCATCACGTTTCTGTTATTAAAACAAGATTCATCTTTCCGTTTTCAAATGTGAGCACAGTATGATAGAATATTTCAAAACAGATGTAATGGAATATTTTAAAGCCTACTGCATAAAACATTTTCATCTGTCAAAATAAAAAGCTAAGGGAAGTTACTGTCATCTGAACGGTTTGAATGATGAGTCAAACCTTAAACTGGCTTTCCCATTCCTTCAAGTAGGTCTCAAGGAAATACAGGAAAAGGATAACTAGTAACTCCACATTTGAAAAACAGCAAATAAAATTAGAAGTACCATATCAATACTATGTTTAAAAAGCAGCAGTCCTCTTTTTCTTTTATTTAAAAGCTGATACAGGCAATTCTTAACGTCATTGTGTATCAGGTGCATTTACAACAAGGTTGGTACTCTTTTTCATAGAGGTCTGCTATTAAATAGCTCTGAGCAACTCTTATTTTTTTCCCAGCCTAAACTTTCCTTCTTGCCTCTGGCCTTTGAAGTCCATCATCTCTCATTTATTAAATGCCCTTTATAATCACTTTAACTTAGAAGAGCCTTATATATTACTGTGTCTGTTTTCTGTAGCTTTTAATTCACTCGCTCAAGACCATTCCCTCTGAGTTGGAGACAATCTTGCTTCTTAACTAGGTTAAACCCCTTATTGGTTTTGAGCATTTTGAAATCAGTAACCAAATAAATTGTAAATTAAATATATTGAGGCAATTTTTGTTACCTTTTACCATTATGATCACAATCCAAACACTAGAATGGTTAATAGCATCAAACAGACAAGAAGAAACAGATTAAAGTATGAATGCTGAATGCTATTCCTGATCCAACGATGCCTGCACACCAAATACACTATTAACAGGACTTGACCAAAACTCTTTCTTTGCTTCTATTTTCTTATCACATGCTGTACTAGGTTCTTTAAAAAAATGTGAAATGATAAAAACATTTATGTACACATTGCTGTAGGTGCCATACACATAATCAAGTTCTAGGACTATTTGAGTTTAATCTTTATGAACCAATTTTATTGCGAAAATTCTTTAAGGAGTCAGATTAAAATGTACAGTTGCTTTGAGAAACCTCAAGTATTGGGGCAAAACTGCAAACTACTAGCCAAAGATTACATGGTTTATGTCCTACTTTATTTCTGCAAGCTTAGAAAAGAACTACGTGGCTAAGGAAATGAAGTCTCGTGCTCTCCTACAACCTGTCTCACCACAAGCGATGCCAGTCAATAGCCTGCCGTGCAAAGCTCCGACTTCTCCCACACCAACACAGGCACGCACAGATTGCTGGGGCCAGCATCTCATCGTACTAGATGACTCTATCACACGGCGCTGGTTAAGTATTTTGATATTATTCCTCTAATTGTATGTGTATGTGAACGTGTATGTGTGTTGAGATCTACACATGGCTGATGTACACATACAGGTTTAAAAAAATGTTCTGTGGTATGTATTATTCTCCAACTTGATTTTTCTGCAGCTTTTTTTCTTTTTAACCTAAAATATATTCAGAACAACTTTAAAAGCCAGAACATTTACCCTACCTCTTCTCTTTAATAGTTGTGTAACATCTCTGAAAGGGATCTAGGAGAGAAGGAACTCTACCACCAAAATGCTCTACATAATAGAGAAATGAGCGGAAGGAACTTACAAGACCATGTAATCAACAGTCAGACCTCTTCATCTACCATCTAGCTTTTCTAAGGGCTCAAATGATGGTGTGCACCCTGCTTGGAAGTATTCACTCAATAAACCCTATTCTACATTTACTGTATAACACCACTGGTAAGCGTGTCTGAAATTCCTTTGCCCAAGAATAACTCTTGCCCTAACTTGGCAGTATGTCAGGAGTTAGAAAAGAGGATAAAAATAGAAAAAGAAGAGGGAGCTACTTAAAAAACAGGCACGTTTCCTGCCTAAAATTATAAAACACTTTAATTTTTAAAACATTTAACACATACAAAATTTAATAACATTCTAAAATATATTGATCACACTAACAATTTGTACTATATTGATTTGTCAAAGAATAATCAGTAAGAGACCATAGGAATGCTCAGACTGAGTATAACTATTCATTCTAAACAGTAATCTCATTCTTTGTGTCTCTGAAAGGTTCTAATATTAAATTAAACAAGGCTCACTATTAAATCTAGGAGTTCCTGTACCTTAAGGATCTGAAAAGTATAAAAGTATTTAAGAAAACTAGCAGTGTAAATTCCTTATCGTATATAACAATTTTCACAAAATTGGTCTATTTTTGGTTTCCTAAATGAAGCTAAAAATACAGAAAACATAATGACCAGAAACATGATTACCATTTGCTCATATTTAATGGCATCCTTCTCTGCAATCTGGGCTGCCCTTTCTTTATTCATGTAAGCAGCTTTTAGTTTTTTCTCCAATTCTCTGAGCTCAATACTGTTCAAAAAAAAAAGACAGAAATATAAAGTTGAGGACCGTATTTCTTCCTATTTTAGAAATCTAGATCTGAAGTTTAAAAGAACTTTTTTTCTAAATGTAAAAGATATTTATATTATTAAATACCTTGAAAACAATATCCTTTCCTCCCTTCACCCAAAGAAAACTCAGAATACATACGAAGTGAGGCATTATAATTAATTTTCTAGACAAAACAACCCTTTTATTTCCAATAATCATCACTAAAAATCCTTTTGCCAGAGTGACTCAGAGAAGATGGTTTATCGATATTGGTTAAAACTTCTGTCCAGCCACTAATGCTATTGAGCTAAAAGAACTATAGTGGAATGCTTTAAAGCAAATTACTTAAATTTTATACTTTGGTTTTGTTACCTGTAGAAGGGTTAGCTATGGGAATTAGTTAATATGTATAAAAAGCTTAGTAAAGTACCTGTTACACAGTAAACATTCTACGAACGGTAACTATTTTTTGATAACGATGATGAAGAGGAATGACCATGGGCAAGTTTGCTTCAATTCTCTGGGCTTGTTTGCTTATCTGTTAAAAATGAGGATTGCCCTCAGATAATCTCTAAACTGCTTTTGAATGAATTCTTTCCCTAGCTTTGGTGGAAAACAATATGCCATATATAACTTCTCAATGTGCCAGAATTCTGAACATGAGAATTCTGAGTTGGAAGGGTCCTTAGATGTTACTTAGATTAATTCTTTTTTTAAAAAGATTTATTATTTATTTTAGAATGAGAGAGTTGTGGGGAGACAAAGGGACAGAGAGTCTGAAGCAGACTCCGCATTGAGCCTGGAGCCCAATGCAGGGCTTGCTCTCACAACCCTGAGATCATGGCCTGAGCTGAGTTGGATGCTTAACCAACTGAGCCACCCAGGTGCCCCAAACACATCATAATTCTTTCTAGAACAGAGGCACTCACCTAATTATAAACCTAATTATAAACTTATAAGTACCCTATACCTCCAAAGACACAGTCCTCATGGGTAAGCTATTCTTGGTGTTGTGATGTGTCCTTCTTGCCCTTACTGTTGTAGGTATAAATGTACATGACACAAGATCGCTTTCTTTCATAAAAAATAATAATTTAAATGAGGATTAAGTTTCTAGGTTAATCTACATATTTTACTCTAATAGACTGCAATATATTTATATGGGTTTTGTTGGAGTTAGGTATTAGTATCTGTAAACCAACGTATGAACCCAATCACAATTTATAAAATTACCTCTCTGAAACAAAGTCCATCAAATTCCAAAAACTAACATGCAAATAAGTGACCTTCGTTTGAAGGACAAGTACACACATTTCTATTGGATATTTACCTAGGAGTGAAATATCTGAGTCACAGGGTAGGCTGTGTTCCAATGCGGTAGAAAATGCCAGCTTTCTAATGCTTTGCAAGGCTTCATACTCCTAGTGCTTACACTGCTACACATCCTAGTAACACTCTTTTAGTCTTGTCATTCTTTTTCGCTTTAACCAGTCTTGTGGGTGTGTAATATATCATTAGGGTTTTGTTTTCCTAAAACTGGGACCTTTCCATAAGTTTGAGTCATTCCTACATCATCTGTGAAGTTTTTGTTCAATATTTTTTTGCCTGTTTTTAGTCTAAATTGTCTACTTCTTACTGCTGCATAAAAGTTCTTTATATATTCTTGATACAAGTCTTTTGTTGCTTATATGCATTGCAAGTGTATCATTCCAGTCTGTACTTACTCTCACAGTTTCTTTAGATGAAGAGAAGTATTCTAATTCACCAATCTTTTTCTTCATTGTCCATGACTTCTGTGTCATGTTTTAAGAAATGTTGCCTACTGCACAGACATAAAGGCATTTTCTTATATTAGTCTCTCAAAACTTTGTTTCACCATTGACTTTTAGACTACAATCACTCAAGAATTGATTTTTGTGTGTAGTGTGAGGTGAAAATCAAGTTCATTTTTGTACATATGGCTACTGAATTGATCCAGTACCATTGTATAAAACTGTCCATTTCTGATTGCTCTGCAGTACCAGAACAGTGAGAGTTCTCTGCAATGTCATAAAATTCAAGTGTACATCTATGCATGGATCCATTGTTGAATATATCCCATCCTTCCTCAGCTGGGGTTCCCTAAGGGAAATTAGCCCCATGGAAGACTGAGTAACTATATTTTAATTTTCTCATAGACAGTATATAGTTGGTATTGTTTTATATTGATAGGAGGTTAGTTAATTCACTACAGATAAAGGATGCCTTAGGCCATCAGGGTTTAAATTTTCTGGGTGAGAAGATCGGCTCCATTCCATTCCATTGATCCATTTGTTTATTCTGTGCTAAAACCACAGAATATTATAATTACTGTAGCTTTATAATTTTTCACATCCTAGAGAATAAGTCTCCAATTTTGGTCTTCTTAAAGATCATCTTAGCTATTCTTGGTACTTTTGCATTTCTATATACATTTTAGAATAAGCTCTTCAAGTGTCACTATAAACAATACTGGCTGAGATTCTGAATAGGACTATATGAATCAATTTGAAGAGTATTGACATGTTCCCAATACTGAGTTTTTAATTCAGTTAAACTGGTATATCCTTCCAATTATTTAGGTTTTAAAAACTATTAATAATGGTTTATTTTGGGGGTGAATGGGTTGGTTAAGCAACTGCCTTCAGCTCCGGTCATGATCCTGGATCCCATGGATGGAGTCCCACATTGGGGGTCGGGGGGGGGGGGGGCCCCTGCTCAGCAGGAGTCTGCTTCTCCCTCTCACCTCTCCCCTTTCATGCTCTCTCTCTCTCTCTCTCTCTCAAATAAATAAACTTAAAAAAAAATTACAATAATGGTTTATTTTTTGTTTTCTCTCAGTGTTGAGGTTTTATACCTCTTTCATTAGGTATTTATTTTTTATGCTCTTGTACAAATTATTTTTTAAAATTTTGTTCTCTAATTGTTAATCTACAGAAATACAATTAATGAGGAAATACAAATATTGACTTCACATCCAAAACACTGCTGAACTTATAATTTATACATAGATTCTTTTGGATTTTCTACATACACAGTCATATCATCTAGGAATAATTAAAGTTTTATTTCTTTACTGCCAATCCTAACACCTTTCGTTTACTTTTCTTGCATTATTGCACTGGCTAGTTTGTCCATACAAAGATTAGTTGAAGGTAGTATAGCAAGCATCCCTGTCTTCTTATAAAGTGTTTAACATTTGCCATTAAGTATGATGTTACTGTAAACTCCATTTTATTCCTAATTTCCTAATCCTTTTTTAAATTTTTTTAAATTGATTTATATCAATTGGCTTTTTCCACTCATATAGTTTTTCTATTATATTCTGTTAATGGGATGAATTGCATGTATTGATTTTCTAGTTAAATCCACTTTAGATTCCCTAGGATAAGTTAAAGTTTAGTCAGATGTAATAATATCTTTCTCACTTGCCACTGGATTTGATACTAATTTCTAATTACAATAGCTAAATTCAAGAGAAAAATTAGTCTATAATTTTTAATCCTATTCAGGTACTGACCTGATTAAAAATCAATTGGGAAGTGTTCCCTCTTTTCCCATTTGGCAAAACTAAGTGAGACTGGTGTTATTATTTGAGTGTTTGGTAAAATTCACCAACCACCTAACCACATAGGTTTCTTTGTGAACAAGGTTAATTATAGATATAAAAGTCTAAAAGTTATAGAAACATTTTAGGTTTCTGTTACAACTTGTGCCAGTTTGGTAAAATGTTCTATTTATGAATTTATCTAAATTTCTATATTTGTATCAAATTGTTCACAATATCCTATAATCTAGCAAATATTTGTATGATCTATAGTGATATCCTATCATCCATTCTAAAAAAAAAATTGGTTATTCATGCATTCTCTGTTATACTTTATCATTCTTGTCAGGGGTTGTCAATTTTACTAGCCTTTTTAAGGCACAATTCTTGGCTTTGATTCTACTTTATGTTTACATTCTCATGTATTTGTTTCTGCTCTTATTGTTCTTCTATATTCTTTTTGTAATCATTCCAGATGGAAATTTGCTGTTCATTTTCTAATAATTCCAGAAGGAGCCTTCATTTCTAGTAGTCATTTCAGATTATAAATGACTCTTGAGTAACAGTTTTAGCTAAACCCCATAAGCTTTTTTTTTTTAATCCTATAACTTTTATTGTGGTAAAATACACAAAACAAAAATCTGCTATTTTTAACTATTTTAAGTATACAATTCAGTGGTGTTAATTACATTCACAATATTCTACAACCATCTATCACTCTTTCCAGAAATTTTCATCATCCTAAATAGAAATGCTATACTCATTTAAGTAAATAACTCCCCATTCTTCCCTTTCCCTAACCCCTGGTAACGTCTAACTACTTTTTTGTCTCCATAAATTTACCTGTACTGGTATTTCACATAAGTGGAATTATACAGTATTTATCCTCTTATGTCTGGCTTACTTCCTTAACATATTGCTTTTATGGTTCAACCATATTATAGCAGGTATCAGAACTTCATTCCTTTTCAAAACTGAATGATATTATCTATATCAAAGTTTATCTCTTCAGCTATTGATGGACATTTGTATTGTTCCCACCTTTTGGCTATTATGAATAATGAATAATGCTGCCTTTAACACTAGTGTAAAAATATCTGATTAAGTCTGTTTTCAGTCCTTGTAAGTACCCACTAAGGCCTGGAATTACTAAATCATATGGTAATTGTATATTTAACTTTTTGAGAATCGCTGAACTGTTTTCCACAGTGCTTGCACCATTTTACATTCCTACCAGCAATGTCCAAGGGTTCCAATTTGTTTCCATGTTCACTAACATTTATTTTCCATTACTTTTATTATAGCTATCCTAGCAATTTCCCTAATGACTAAGGATGTTGAGTGTTTTTCTCATATGCTTATTGTCCGCGGTCTATCTTCTTTGAATAAATCTCTAAGTACTTCGCATATTTTTGAATTGCATTGTCTTTTGTTGTTAAATTGTAGGGATCCCTTACATATTCTGATACATATTATCAGAGATACAATATGCTTTTCTGGCCTGAGTTAGGAGTTATGTGAAATAGAGATAGGCATCTTGTGCCAATCCTTCAGGGAGCTCCCAAGTAGGTTAAACATACATATACAACAATTTTCTAGTAAGATCTGCTCTGCTCTCTCCAGAACCAGCGATAGATACAATATGAGCTACCACTGCCTTCTAGACTGCCTCAGAGCTGGGAGGGGATGGAGCAAGGACAAGTAAAACAAATAATACCACAAACTTTGCTACCATTTCTTTTTCTTGATTCAGCATTCACTAGGTTGCTATTAACCTTTGATTGTTTTAATTGTACTGGCATCAGCAAGGAACGGGTTATGTATTTAATAAGGGAAGACTATGTCTTATCTTCTCTTTGAGCTAGTTTTTGCTGAACTTAAATACAAATTATACATGAGATATTTCTTTCATAAAACAATGTGTTAACAATGTGATAAATGTACAGTTGCCAATTATGTAATTATAAATTGTGTAATTATAATTATACAATTAATCATAATTTTAAATAATTGACTAAAATTGTTAATCACATATGTAATTATTAATTGATTCATGCTTTAATTAAAAAAAGGACTTCTCGGGCACCTGGGTGGCTCACTGGGTTAAGCCTCTGCCTTTGGCTTAGATCATGGTTTCAGGGTCCTGGGATCGAGCCCTGTATCGGACTCTCTGCTGGGCAGGAAGCCTGCTTCCCCTTCTCTCTCTGCCTACTTGTGATCTCTGTCAAATAAATAATTTAAAAATCTTAAAAAAAAAAAAAAAAGACTTCTAAAAAATAGAGAGTTAAGGCATTTCAAGTTAAAAGCAGTGAGAAAGTGTCTTAAATATTTTCTTGGATTAAAAAAAAATCATGTGTTCAAAAATCAAATAACAAAATAATCTTGTGACTTTCAAACTCAGTTATTTTAAAAAAAAATTCAATGACCTTTCAAAATTTACCCTGGGTTTTAATTCTTTCTTTTAATTTAAAGAGCTTAATCTTAATATAAATGACTTTTAATAACTTAGGATATATTTTGAGTACCACAGTAAACATTTCCTTGAATTTAGACCTGCCAATTAGCAGATGAAAACACTAATCAGAATAATGGTCCATTTCTGCATCAGTCAAAATTCTATCATGGCTTATGCATAAAGTGAAAAACTCTTAGAAGTTTTGACACTGCTTAGAAACAGCATACTCTATTTGAAAAAGTACTCAACTGAATGACTTTTGCCTTAAGTTTGAAGAAAATTTTCACAAAATACAGAATTCTAGAAGGGCCACTACTTTCCTTTGCCCTTTAAATCTACGGTCTTCTCATTTTCACTGTTGGCTTTCAAATTCAGTCATACTCTGATTGCTGCTCCTTTGAAGGTAATCGTCTTTTGTGGGGCTGCTTTTGTGATTCTCATTATTGTTTCCTTTCAAAAGTTTGAGTAGGGTGAGTATAGGTATATTTTCGTCATTTTTTGTGTTTTAACCTGTGGCTTTATTTCCTTTATCATATTTGGAAATTCTTGGCCAGTGTCTTTTCAAATACTGCTTCTGCATCATCCTCTTTTATTTCTACTCCTACAACTAAAATTATACATCCGTTAGAACTTTCCATCATAGACCTTACCTCTTTTAAGTTTTCTTTTCTATCTTTCTATCCTTTTGTCTCTCTGTGCTTTATTCTGGCTATTTTCCACTAACTAACATTATCTCTTCATCTGTATCTATCTAATAAAATCTAATTGAATTCTGTATTAGTGAAGTAAAACATACACTAAAGTGTATAAATCTTAAGCATAAAACTTGTAAAATGATGTTGGATACCTTGCAATATGCAATATGCTTATTGACCTCTCAGCCATCCTTTCGGAATCAGCAGAACCTCCAGGGGAAGTGTAGCTACAAATGCCAAGCTTACCATTCTGGTTTCCTTCCTCTCTCAGATCTTACTTTTATACTTTCTCCAGATATTCTGTTCTCAGAGAAAGCCTTTATTTGCAACACCTTGTCTAAAAATTGCTAGAGGTAGAAAATTCCTCTATTTAATTTCTAGATCAGTGAATTAGACAAATACATGATGAAATAGTTATTTCATCTCCAGACAACATAAACCCATGAGGAACAGCTAACAATGATTAGAGACTTAATGTCCAAAAAGACACTTTGCAACTAGAATAATATGAAGACATAAGTGGCAATTTTAAACCTTTAAATATTAGTAATCCTTAAAGAATGTGATCAAAGTTATAGACCCAAAAAAATACAATAGGTACATTTGTCAAACACATAAATATACTTTAGTGAAGCTCAAAATCCCTGAAGCTCACCCACAGGTCATATAATATCCTACAGAAGTGCAGCGCAGTTAAGATAATACGTAACAATTATCAAAGTAAATTTCTAATACATTCGACTATATAACTATAGAATGAGCATTTAGTTAGCCCTGAGTTTTAGTCAACAGTGTGGCATGCCTGCTTCTAAAAAGCAATTCCATTCTAAGCAGTATTAAGAAATATATTCTAGAACAATGTGGTTAACAGTCCCACTATTAGAAAGTACTACCTTGCAACATTATACACAATTATGAGGGCAATATTTTAGAACAATAATTGTGTAAATTACATCTACAGAGAAAAACCAGGATGGTGAAGAAACTTGAAATCATATTATATATGGAACAAATGAAAGATATTTATCTTATAGAAGAAAACATTTGGGGGATTCATAAATATGAAAGGATATCCTAAATAAGAACTAAATGTGATTTTCATCAGAGAGCAGAACTGAAATAAATGCATGAAAGTTACAGGGAAATCAGTTTTGAAACAATATGGGAAAAAAGATTATTCAAAGTGAGGCCTGAATTAAAAAAGAATTTTCTATCCCAATTACTAGAGGTATTGAGCCATAGCCAACCAGCCACTTTCCAGAAATACTGTAGAAAATTTATGTCTGAGTAGAAAATTAAATTATGTATCCCCTAAGGTTTCACTTAAGAGTAAGATTCATGTATCATTTTTTAAAAAGATTCTATTTATTTGAAAGAAAGAGAAAGCATGAGCAGAGATAAGTAGATTCCCTGTTGAGCTGGGAGTCCGATGTGGGGCTGTATACCAGGACCCCGAGATCATAACCTGAGCCAAAGTCAGATGCTTAGATGACTGAGCCATTCAGGTGCCCCTCATGAGTCTATTTTTTAGGTCATTTTAAAAAAAGAAACAATTGCTATTTATTTTCACCTTAAATATTTCACTTCTTTGAATACGACTTCTTTTCCCAAATGAATATACATAGCATTTAAAACAATAAGTATTTCCAGACAAAATATTAACAAAGTGCAATGACATAAAGAAAAAAATTTTTTTTCATTAGATAAAAGTTTAAAGGCAAAGACAAAATAAATGACATTTATAAAAACCAAGATACCTGTTTTCTCTTACTTGTTGCCTCATCTTTTCATCCTTTAGACTTTGATGTTTTAGTTTCGCCAATTCCATAGCCAATTTTTCTTCTTGTTCAAGCTGGAGTTTCCTCAATCTTTTGTTTTCTTCTGCCTGAATTTTTTTTTAAAGTAACTTCAGTTATTTGTCCACCATATCAGATGTTTTTCATCAAAGCTTCAGAGCAACAAACATTTGTGTTTTATTTTAGTATATGTGCTGCCGAAGCGAGCACTGTGTTTTATTTTAAAATACAAAACACTATTTCAGTAAGTGTTTTTCCAAACATTTTACCCTGGAAAATTTTAATCAATAGTAAGAAGAATATTAAAATATACGCTCAGCTAGCCATCACTCACTTTCAATAACTATCATAATTTTCCAATCTTCTTTCTCTACTCTTCCACTTCAATTTCATTTTTTCCTTTGTTCTTTTCTGCTAGACTTTTAAAACATAGGCTAGATGTCATTACCATGTAAACAATTCAGTGTTGATTTCTATCTGAAAAGAATTTAATTTTATGTAACAACCATGCCTTTACCATGCCCAAACAGTAATTCCTTAGTAAGGTCTAATGCTTTGTCCATTTTCAAGTTCTCCCAATTGTCTCAAAGATACTTTTTGTTTGCTTTTTCAAATGAAAATCCAAACAAGTGCCACATATTGCATCTAGCTATTATTTCTCTTATGTCTCTTTCATTCCGTAACCGTCATCCCATATACATACTTCTTTCCTCAAACCATTGATTTGTTGTCGAAATTAGTATATGTAGCCCGTAGAATGTCCCAAAACATCCTAAATTTGACTGTTTCCCCAGGATACCATTCAACTTGCTTCTCTTTTGTATCTCCTGTAAAATGGTAGAAAGATCTAGAGGCTTAACTAAATTCTGTATTTAGAAAGAATAAACACATGAGAAGATGTTCAACATCATTAGCCATCCGGAAATGCGAATTAAAATGATAGATCACCACAAACCTTTTAGAATGGCTTAAATAAAAAATAGCGGCAAGGCGAATGTTGGTGAGAAACTGCATTTCTCACCTATTCCTGGGTGGGAATGTAAATTGGTAGTCTGTTATCAAGCTAACGTGCAATTACCATATGACTTGATAACTGCACTCATGCATTTAGCCCAGAGAAATGAAAACTTATGTTTATTTAAGATCCTATACTCAAATGTCTACAGCAGATTCATTCAAAACAGCCAATACTGGAAAAAGACATACCTCAACACGTGACTAGGCAGATAACCTGTGGTACCTCCATACCACGGAGAGCACTCAGCAACAACAGGGAATCAAGTATTGACACTAGCAATAACCTGGATGAATTCCTAGGAATTAAGCTGAGTGAAAACAATCCAATCCCAAAAGGTTATAGATTGTCTGATCCCATTTATATAATGTTCTTCGAATATGTTCTTTATTTTAAAATTGAGCTTTAATTCCCATAGCATAAATTCACCTTTCACAATTCATAACTCAGTGGTTTTTTAGTATATTCACAGTGTTGCACAACAATCATCACTATCTAGTTTCAGGACTGTTTTGAACAGACTATTTTTTGGAGCAGTTTTGGGTTCACAGCAAAACTCAGCAGAATTAACAGAGTTCCATATACCTGCTGCGCACACACACACACACACACACACAGCCCCGCCTCACTATCAATATCCCCCACCAAGTGGTACATTTGTTATAATCAACTAACCTACATCAACACAATCACCCAAAGTACATGGTTTACAGTAGGTTTAACTTGGCGGTATATTCTGTGGGTATGAGAAACATTTAAGGACACGTATCTACTATTAGAGTTCTCATACACAGTAGTTTCACTGCCCTAAAAAATCCTCTACCCTGCCTATTCATCCTTCCCTCCCCCAAATCCCTGACATCCTCTGATCTCTTTACAATCCCTACAATTTCGCCTTTTCCAGGTTGGTATACATTCGGAGTCACGCAGTCTGAAGGCTTTTCAGGTTGGCTTCACTCAGTAATACACACGAAAGTTTTCTCCATGTCTTTTTCATGGCTTGATGGTGCATTTCTTTTAGCACAGAATAATATTCGATAGACCGGATTATTGATCCATTCGTCTACTAAAGGACATCTTAGTAGCTTACAAGTTTGGGCAATTATGAATAAAGCTGCTATGAACATCTACGTGCGGGATTTTGCATGTGTGTGTATAAGTTTTTAACTTTACAGCATGGTTTCCTCACCCCCCAGAAAAACTCCATACCTGTTAGCAGTCACTCACCAGTCCACCTACCTCCTAGCCTCTGGCAACCACTAATCTACTTTTTGTCTCTATGGATTTGCTATTCTAGATATTTCATTTAAATGAAATCATACAATCTTTGACGTGTGGCTTCTTTCACTTAGTGTAACTTTTTCAAGTTTCAACCATGTTGCAGCATGTATGGGAACTTCATTCCCTTTTGTGTCGGTATGATACTCACTGTATAGATAGAACACATGTGGTCTGTCCAGGAATCAGCTGATGGGCACTTGCGTCATGGTCAACAGCCAACTTCCAGCTATTGTGAATAGTATTGCTTTGAATATTCATGTACAAGTTCTTGTGTGAACATGTTTTCAGTAGTCTTGGCTGTATGTTTAGGAGCAGATTGCTGGGTCACATAGCAATTACATTTAACTTTTTGAGGAACTGCCCGACAGCTTTCCACAGCCACCACAGCATCTTCCACTTCCAACAGCAATGTACAAGGCTTCCAGATTCTCTACCTCTTCGTCAATGTTTAATGTCCTTTTTAAATTTTTAAAAAATATATAGCATGGGGTGCCTAAGTGGCTCAGTGGGTTAATCCTCTGCCTTCAGCTCAGGTCATGATCTCAGGGTCCTGAGATCAAGCCCCGCATCAGGCTCTCTGCTCAGCAGGGCACCTGCTTTCCCCTCTCTGCCTGCCTCTCTGCCTACTTGTGATCTCTATCAAATAAATAAATAAAATCTTTTTTAAAAATCTTTAAAAAAAAATAGAGCACGCGCACGTGCGTGCAATCTTCATGGTTATGAAGGGGCATCTAACTGATTTTGATTTGCATCTCCCTAATGACTAATGATGTTGGCATCTTTTTTTGTGCTTATTGTCCATTTGTATGTCTTCTTTGGAGAAATGGCTATTGAAATAATTTACCCATTAAGGGATTTTTTTGGTCTCTTATTGTTGAGTCGTACAGATAATATTCTTGAAATGACAATATTAATGGTTGCCGGAGTCGGGGATGAGGTAGGTGTATCCAAGAAAGAGATGATGATGTTTATGAAAGGACAAAATGAGGGATCCTTGGCATGGAACTCCCCCGGATCTTGATTGTGGTGTTGGATATACAAACCTCACATGCGATACACTGTACAGAACTAAACACACACACACACACACACGAGCACAACTAAAAGGGAAATCTGAACAAAGTGGGTGGACTGTATCATTGCTGATGTCTTGCTTCTGATATTATACTATAGCTTTGCAAGGTGTGCCATTAGGAAAATTAGGTACAGGGTATACTGGGACTCTCTGTATTATTACTGACAACTGCAGATGACTCCATAATTATCTAAATAATAATTTCAATTAACAAAAAGCAACCGCAAGTACTGGTGATAACACAAAGCAGCTGGAATTCTCATACATTACTTGAGGAAATGCAAAATAAAGCAACACCTTTGCAAAATGGTTTGGCAGTTTCTCACCAAATGAAGCAAACACCTACCATATGACCCAACCATCCTATTCCCAGATAGCTGTCCAAGAGAAATAAAAATTTGCATTCATATTAAAGTTTGTAATAAAAGCTCATAGCAGCTTTAATCGCAGTTGCCATAAACTGGAAATAACACGGGTTTTTTCCAACACGCAGATGGATAAACAACAGGTACATCAGTATATTAGAGTATGACCATACCACTCAGCACTAAAAGGAGTAATTCATGCAACAACATGGAATCTTACATTTGGTTTGCTAAGTGAAAGAAGTGAGACCCAAAAGGTGACATATTGCATAATCCAATAGTGTGACACTATGGAAAAGATGAACCTACTGGGACAAAAAAGAAACCAGTGGTTTCCAGGGACTGGGGAAAGGGGTAAGTGAGTAGCTGACTACAAAGGAGCAGCATGCGGGGACTTTTGAGGTGATAGAATTGTTTGCATCACACTGTGATGGCAGAAACTGAAATCTATTCATTTGTCAAAATCCATAGTATATATCAAAGAGAATAATTTTATAACATGCAAATTTAAAAAGAAATCAACCAGTACATTCATACCATGCACTACTACTCAGTAATAAAAAAGAATTAACTATTGATAAATCCAACAACTTGGATGACTCTCCAAAGCATTATGCTGAGTGGAAGAAACCTAAAGGTCACAGACATATAATTCCACACATGTATGGATTCACACATGATTACATTTATAGAACAGTCTTGAAAGAACAAAATTATACAGATGGAAAACAAATCAGACATAGTGGGGGCTAAAGGAAGTATATGGCTACAGTGGGGAAGCATGAAATGAGGTCTTGGTGGTGATGGAGTGGTTCTGCATCTTGAATGACATGGCAGTCACACAAATCTACACATGTGCTAAAATAACAGAGGTATACACGCATATTGTACAACTGTCATTTTCTAAGGTTTGATATTGTACTACAGTTATGCAAGATGTAGCCACTGGGGGAAGCTTCTGTGTAAGGGCACAGTGGACCTCTCATACTGTTGTTGCAATTTTCCAAGAATTTGTAATTATTTCAACACAAAAAAATTTAAAGAAATCAACTAGAGGTGGGGGGAATAAGAGAACACAGACTATGTCAAAATAACTGTATTAAAAATCAGAGGGTCCAAGATGGCAGCATAGGAAGATCCTGAACTCATCTTCATGGATACACAAAATCTACAGCTATATATGGATCATTTCGGTAGGAAGGCTGACAATACTGCCTCCATCTTTGGCCCTCCATCTTCCATTCTTAGTCCAGAAAGGCTAAGAATCTATTAGAGATAACATAGTCTTTCCCTTTTCTGATGAACAGGTGGGGCCACCTGATCTAATTAAAAGTTAGCTGTCAATTAGATGCA